AAGGTCAAAATCATCATCCAAAATTCCAAATTCCAATTATCATAGATATAATAATTGCAATTCTAAATATATTCGACCCAATTATATAAATATAAATCAACATAAATTACATAAAATTTAATAAATAGAAAACTAAATAAATAAAACGAATTTCAGTATTAAATCGAATTCAAACATGTAATAAAATTAAAAACAAACAATTCAAACCAAAAAAAATTACGTGTACTGCCACATTCTAAAACTGGGAAGTATGGATCATCCGTATCCTAAGGTCTTTATCTAACCTTGTAATTAAACCCTAGCAAGGGGAACTCCAGTTTTCTTGGATTGTCCTTACGAGTGGAGCCCCATAGATGCACCAGCCTGTCTTTTTTGCACCCCCAATTTAGTACTCCACTAGTATATAGTTGTGAATAAGTCGTAAATTTATTGGGCATCTTTAAAGTATTGACTTTCAGATTGGGCCAAACCAACAAGGAGGACCAAAGAGATTAGGGGTAACCAAGAGCTCTCTTAGAACGTGGTATTTCGACTCATCTTCCTTTAACCCCCTATCCAGGACGATGTCCGAATCTTTCATTACATGAATGTAAATGATTTACGAGTTGCACCAACTCATCCCGTGTATCTTAAATCAAGGTGTGAGTTGTGAGAGTTCTAATCATGTTCATAACCCTTTCCTTTGAGTGGGTTTCTACGCACCATTGCACGTCTATAACGTAACATTTTTCTGATAAATAAAAAAAAAGATTATGTATCAAAAATAAATGTTTACTATATTGATAAATAATATCGATGACGTGTTTATGGTTTAAAACAAACAATTAGACTCATAACAAAATACCAAGTATTCATTTTTTATTCCTTACAGCAAAAGAAAAAAAAAAAATTGAAATACTTCAGCGCCTGCCCCAGAAGCGGCCAGCCCTTTCACGAGCAGGCAGGAGCTGCCACGCGCCCACCACGTGCCGGCAGGGTACTCCACGCGGTGTTCACGCAGCCATGAATTCGGGTCGCGGTTGACCCGTTTACACATTCAAAGAGTTAATACCTGACCCGAGTGTGGCGTGGACCTGTTTGACTTTAGGGTCGGGTTGGTGACCGGTGGTTGACGGACGTTGGTATTACGGGTCAGGGTGACTGGGTTTTTGATGGACCGTTTAATCGTAGGTGGGTGAATATTACAGGATACTACCGTTTTGTATAGGGTTAGGTCCAGGGTCAACTTGACCCATTTATATGGTTAGGGTCGGGCCGGAAAGGAAGTATTGGGGTTTGTGAGTATGTACCCCCCCCAAAAACTAAATTAGCTCAGTGGTTAGGGATATTGGGATTCAAACTTGGTTAGATTGTGTTGAAGTTCAAACCACTCTATTGCATTTTTCTTTAAAGGAAGTAAAACAGAAAAAAGGAACAGTCGGGCTTGTCGTCTCAACCTCTATCCGGAGTCTCGCAACTGGGTTACCAAATCGGAACTCACAACAACGAAAAACGACGAAACTTCCAAGAGGCATATCAAGTCATTTTAACCCCATTTTTATGATGTCAAAAATTTTCTTCATACTTTAAATTTAAGGAATTGAATGGGCTAATTATCATACCAAAAAGACACACTTTACATACAAAATTTGAAAAAACTCAGAACTGCATGGATAAACCAATACATGCCCTTTAACATAACAGCTGAATTTAATAAACAATATGAACCACGGATCTGATACCAATGTGGAAATAACATTAGAAGACCATTTCCTTAAAGTAATCCCAAGATCATCAGTCACCATGCGCATCCCATGTGTATATAAATGAAATACACGAATTTACACAGCATAAATACCACTTTTCATTATCTCTGAAGCAATAAATTGAATCTAGAAGAACACGAAGTGTATTTATCTTTACAAATTCTGAGAGAGAGAGAGAGCATATTTTTCCTTTGCTATATTGAGAGTGACAGTGAGAAACTTCTAAAAAAGGAAAAACTTTCTAATTATATGGGAGCGGTGGTGAGAAACTGCCTTGGCAATTTACACTTCTCACGCCCCTTCATCATAGGTGGCTTATCCAAACAGTATATTGAAATACTGGAACTTATCCAGTAAAGATTTGTGGAAGTTTCCAAGCTAGAACTTTATGTGTTTAAAATATTTTTTATATATAAATGATTTTAGAATTCTGCCAGAACTACAGAGGAATCTAAATAGATCAACATAGGAGAATGAATTTAGGCAGAGCCATGGATAGATCATGCACACTGCACTTATACATTCAAAATGGAATTGAACGCACAGCTTATTCAATGTAATAAAAAAATAATATTTAATTAAACATACATTTTTCTTTATGTCTATTCTTATATTTTAATTTATCTTTGAACCACTGTCTAAGGCCATATAATATTTAGAAATATGGTACTGACAACAAGCACCAGTTTATTCGAACGATGTGTAATTGTATTTAAATAATTTCTTATAGATGGGTTATGCTAAGCTATGAGAATTACTTTACTGTTTTACCGGCATCTAAATATCTTATGCTAACAAAAAAAATTAATTTCATATATATTTATATTCTCTTCCTTTTTGCATCTAATTTTATTAGATATATATACAAGTGAAATAACGTGTTTGTTCTACAAAAAACTTTATCATAGTATAAACATAACATGTATCATATTCCTTATTTTAACCTTATTAAGAAGATTCCATAATCAATTCAATTATTATCATATATATTATAGATCTAATCTGACTATAACTGCAGTTAATTTTCAAATTATATCATTTTCTTAGTAAGAAATGTACTTAGTAATAGCTTATACATTTAGATATAAAAATTTCATTAAACTGGGATTTGTATTAAGCTCAAAACTTTGTTTTAATTAGCAATACTTAATGGTGTAATTTTTATCTCATGCAAAAAGTCATCACCACATAAAAGTATCTCTGGTCACTTGGAAAAGGAAAATTATAATAACATTTAAATATGTAAACATTATTCAAATTTTATACTAAGGGCCGTTTGGATCGGAGTTAATATTCGTTTATTTTACAAGATTTCTGTATTTGGCTTGCAAGTAATAAAATATTACGGTAATCTTTTATTGCAAATAGTGGTTATTGTTGATAATGTGGGAGGTAATCTTATTACCTTGCTAGAGGCTGTTATTAAAATATTGTCGAGGTAATATGATTTTTCTTCCCATTTTGCCCTTAATTAAAAACCATTTCAAACACTATTGTCCTCAAATATCTACCAAATAACAATTACTCAGCCCTCATACATTTGAGAAATTACCTAAAACACCTCAGCCACAAAAAAGTTTAAAAATTAACAAAATACCCCCAACCACCCAAAACTATCGTCGGTCGTGACTCACCACCGTCAATCGCTGTAATGGTGCATGACTGACGGGATCTGACTGGTCGTGCCTCGGTAAGGCCTTTTCTAACTAGATCTAACGTTTCTATGGCCGTTTCACGGCCAAAGGTAGATCCACTGATAGGTAGATTTTTTTATGATTTTTTAAGTGTTCCCAAACGAGCTACTTCTTCAATGCCAATGCCCATAACCCTGGAATCAGTGCCCACGGACGAGTTACGGAATCAGCGCCCCCGTCCTCATCCTTTAATGCCCCTGGTGGAACCTAATCTTTGGCAAGATCATCTTCGGTCACATTCTCAATGAAAAGCTAGTGCCCGGTAATTGTACTTCAACCGGCATGGATTCCTCTGTCTCATAATGTGGCCGTGAAAAGGCCAGATCTTTGGCTGTGACATTTCACGGCCAAAGATCTGGCCTTTTCATATGCTAGATCTATAGCCGTGTCACAGTCACATCTTTGGTCGTGAAATGGTCATAGATCTGGCCGTGAAAAGACCATGGATTCCGGCTTTGTCAGTGCACGGTAAGCCATATATGGCCAGTCATGCACCATTCCGTCGACTGCCAGCGGCAGCCGACGATGGTGGCTGGCTGCCGACAGTGGGTTGGGGTGGGTGGGAGTGATTTTGCTACAAATTAAAGTTTTATATAGTTGGGGTGTTTTATTAAAATTTCAAATATAGAGGGTCAAAAGAATGGTTCAAAAAATAATAATAAAAAATACTATTATATTAATATTTAAAAAAGAGGGCAATTTAATAATCTATATAATATATCCATTCATTTATCTTCCCAACCAAACATATTATTTCACCAATTTATTCGAACTAGTCAAACATATTTTCTAAACATTCCCAATAATCTTTAAAGTAATATTTCTTTCAATTAATATAATATACTTCTATAATAAAATATTATAGGGTCTAAACACCCCTAAATGAATTAAATAATGTTTTATCAGCATCCGTAATTGTGGTGAGAATATATAAATATAAATTCACTTTTTTGGGCAAACATTCAGATAAAATTTCTGCAATTATTGAATTCCATCCATATGATCAGTCAATATTTTATTACGAAGCAGCAATTCAGAAGCGTACCATCAATAAATTCTTTCATACAAGTATTCCGGTACACACACAAGTCTCTTCCATCTAAACCACAAATTGTTTTCACATTTTTCTCAAAAAAAAAAAAAAAAAGAATAAAGAAATCAGAGCTCTTATCTTCTTAAATGATAGATTAAATCATAGAGCTGATACTGAAATTTCACAGGTAAGTAAAGTAATCGGTGACATTTCACAGTAATTTTGTCCATATCAACTTTAATTTAAGGGGGATCCACCCCATGCTTTGGACTCTTTCAAAAATTACTAGATAAGGTTTACACTTAACGAGACCCTTTTGCCTCAATTTCTTACCACCCACTTCGCATTTCTTTTACTCCAAGGTAAATTCAATTTCCTATTATATACAAATGTGAAAATAGTAACATATAATATATGAAATGGTAACATATATGTGAAAATAGTATGTTAATATTAATTATTATTTCATATTTCCTCTAAATAATGTTTACCCTATGCTTTCCTCTATATATAACACCAACTCTCTCCGTAAATTCCTCTCCCAACCCAATCTAGTTTCAGCAGCACAACATTTTCAGCTCCAACCATGTGCGAAAAGGAGTGTGGCCACGACGACGACGACAAGAAGCAGCTTCTACGATGGCTACTCATTGGCGTGGTAGCCTTTATCGTGGCTTTCCTCTTCGTTATCTTTCTATTTTGGCTAATCACCAAGCCCACAAAACCAACCTTCGTCCTCCAGGATGCAACACTTTATGCATTTAACCTCTCATCCGTCTCAGCCCCGTCTATCTTAACCTCTAATCTTCAAGTCACAATCTCCTCCCGAAACCCCAACCAGAGAATCGGCATTTACTACGAAAAGGTCGACGTCTACGCGTCGTACCGGAACCAGCAGATAACTCTTCCGACTATGATTCCGGTGACCTACCAGGGGCACAAAGATATCAGCGTTTGGTCACCGTTTTTGTACGGTGATGCCGTGCCTTTGTCGCCATATGTCGCAACTTCTTTGAGCCAGGACTTGAATACTGGGATGGTGCTGGTGAATATAAAGGTTGATGGGAAAATTAAATGGAGGGTCGGGACATGGATTTCAGGAAAGTATGGATTAAATGCAAACTGTCCGGCTTATCTTTCGTTTGGTGAGAAGAGTAAAGGCATTGCTTTTGCCACTGGAGCCGCCATTAAGTATCAGTTTGTGCAGGGATGCACCGTTGAAGTTTAATCAACAAATTTGTATGCTATCAATCTTGTTCATCAGTAGGTTTTTTTTTCTTTGATGAATTAATTACTTTGTTATATGAGTAATTTCTTATTTGGTTAAAATATGAAATCAGGTTATAAAATTTTCCCTTAAATCTCTTGTCGCATCATTTATGGATCAATTTTTTTTTTTTTTTTATGACGCAATTAATAAAATTTTAGCTTGCATGGTAAATTATTTTGATCTAAATTTTACTTTAATTTGTGTTATGACATTTGAGATTGAAGAAAAGGATGTGTGGCTGATCGAGTGTCATTTTCTATCATGTTTCTGTTACAGAAATTGTCTTGATCGAAAGGGAAAATCAAAAGGGATTTTTCTTCTTGGAATGGTTGACAATGGTCCTTTAATTTGTCATTGGGAACCACTATAGCTTGTTCATATTTATGTGTTCATTATCTTGGATTCTAACATTAATTGGGAAACAGTAGTCTTTGGATTCTTTGAACCTATTTTATTTGATTTGCTACTACCAAAAAGAATTTGTTTACTAGTATAACTATTAATCTAGTAGCATATTTTTTGGATCCTGTTCTGTGGAAATTGGACACAGAATTATATTGAATAACAAAAATCACAATTCTCTAGGACTTGATTAAACACTAAATATATTCTCATGAAGGCAGTTTTAATTGTCACTCGAAACAATGAATTTGTTTCCTTTTTTATTTCTTGTTTAGCCTTAGAATGTGTGCCCTTAACAGTAAGTGATTAAGATAGTGGAAATAAATATTGTTTTACCATATTTAACATGGCCTTTCAATTTCAGTCCCCATGACCTTTAATAGGATACTTTAACCCCCAGTCAGTAAACCAAAAAGTCATTTTATAGTACTTGTAAAAGAAATAGGAAAAATCACATTATTATTTGTGGAAAAAGAAAAGTAAAAAGGAAAAGAAATTGACATAAAACAGAATGACGAATTAAAGATTCAGGAATTGCGTCACGTTAAGAGAGATTTATTTGATGGTGGGTCATATAAATTGAATGATGAAGGATGTTTGACACGGCTAGAGTTTGAGTAAAGGGAAAATTATAGTGTCGCTTTTACTTTTACTTCACTTTTACAAAAGAAAGAAAGGTTACAATTACATAAACTGTTAAAAGAGGGATCAAATTCATCACCACCTATTTGCTACTTTACCCCTCTCGGCATTGGAATTATTATTAGGGTTTGGTGAGGTTGGAACAGTTCCAACTGATGGTCCTTTTCACATCAAATTATTTCTCAACCCTATTCATTTAACTGCAGGCACAAAGGTTATAAATCGTGTGGTTTGTCTTCAACTTCATTTATATGATCAACAATATAGGTGAGGAAATTGTTAAACTTATAATGGAAGATTGAGATGACATAATTTAAGGCTAAGGATGTTGATTAAGCTGCAATGGAAATGGATAGAATCTATATCAATTTTAAATGTTAAGATGGTACCTACTGTATCACCGAAAGCTTTTGGTACATTCCTTAGATTTTCAATTCAAACACTCAAATTTTTAAGAAAAAAACAAGTACTATTTGGATTGGTCAATTTAGGGAGAAAAACCTCATGTAATTAGGGATGCCTGACACTATTGGTTCGTGCACAGGCCAGCCTTATCTGGGCTTTAAAAGAAGGCCATGTTTTTAAGAAATTATAACATTTTAAAATTGACACCCCACTAGATTTCGCTTAATCTGACTGAACACCCGTTAGTTTCATTATTACATAACTAATCCTCATTTTTAACGGATCGTTAAATTTTTTTTATTAAAGAAAATATAAAAAATTTTAATTCTAGAATGACATTTTTACCCTTCATTCCAAAATATAAACATAATTTGATCTGTTCTTTTTCTTTTTCTTTTTCAAAATGAAACTGAAAGTTTTATTTTGTTTACTTTCTGTTCCCCAAACAGAGCTCTAAATTTTTCCACCAAACAAACTCTCAATTTTTTTCCTTCAAACAAAAATTCTATCAATTTTGTTTTTTCTCCATTAAACAAAGTTTCAACCAATTTTCTTTCTTCCTTCATGAGTTTTCCATTACGATAAACCTGCAAGCAATGGATGTGCAAAAATCCAAATTACAGTCCCAACAACAATAATTTCATCATGGAAACAAAAATTCAACAGAATCCTTTGGTGCTTTATTGATGCACCCAACAACCCAGTTGAATAGCCATTTACTGAGCACAAGCTGAGCTCTAATTAATGCCCAAATCTCTCATCAAATAAAAAAACCCAGTTGCTTCCTTAAATAATCTATTTCGTTTGCATTCTACACCTAAACTTGGCCGCCGTTGGAAGGCTAGGTGACGACTCGATTTGGGCCGCCACTTGAAGGCCGACGACTGACCAAATCTGATGTGAGGGCCAAAGAAAGAAGAAAAAGAGAGCAGGAGGGAGGAAAGAGAAAAGGAGGAACGGCTAGCCAGATCTGCGAAAGAGGAAAAGAAAACAAAAAAAGAAGAAAGAGGAGGTAAATAAGAAGAAGAAGAAGAAAGAGACGGGAGAAAAAATAAGAAGGATAAAAGACTAGAAGAAAAATATTTAGGTTTTGTTTTAAAAAATATAAAAACTCCAAATGTTCCTCTAAAAAGTTGAAAATATCAATATAACCTTTATATTAGTTAACTTTGATTGGAAAATTTTAACGGTCCGTTAAAAATGGGGGTTAGCATTTAGTAACAAAATTAGCGGAGCTCAGCAAACTAAGCGAGACCTATACAGGTCTACAGAAATAATCCTAAATTTTTAAATGTTAAAATAACATAGAATAACATATATCCTAAAGTAATCCCAAGATCATAGTCACTATTGTAATCACATTTGTATATAATGAACTACAATGAATTTAACACATAATATCTCTTTTCCTTATTCTGAAGCAATAATTGAATCTGGAAGAAAACCACGAAGTGTATTTTCTTTTCCAAATTAAGAGAAAAGAGCATGTTTTTCCTTTGCGTATTTGAGAGTGACAGTGAGTAACCTCTTCTAAAAAAAAAACTTTCTAATTATATGGGAGCGGTTCGTGAGAAACTGTCTTTGGCAGTTTCCACTTCTCACGCCCCCTTCATCATGGGTGGACTTATCCAAACAAGTATATTGAATACTGGAACTTATCCAATATCTCCCACTCACACATGATGGGACTATCTCTCTCTATGCTTCTTTAAGGTTCATAGCTTAGTAAATATGCCGTGTGGCCATGCATACTTTGAGAGCACGTTAGCTATATCTGTTAGGAATATATAACTTCTCGAATTGTGAAACTCAGGTTGTATGTTGCATGCAATACCCTAGATTACTTATCCACATTTTTCTAACAATCTCATTTACAATAAATATCTGTGTATTCATAATTATGTTCTATCTTTACATAAAAGTAAAACATAATTGGTCGACCAAGAATACACGTGATTATAGTGTGATATTCAAAACGTAATTTTCCTCTTTTCTCGATTCTTGCAACTTTCATTTAACTTGCTTTTCTAGAATGTCCCAACAGATTGAATTTATCTAATCCTTTGGTAACACTCTAAATAGCAATCATTAATGAAGTTTTCAAGAAACAGAATAGAATAAGAGTATTCTATGAGATTTTATTCTTAAAAAAACTCAGGGTCTCACACAATGTTAAAGTTGAGAATTTGACTTTTATTACCCCTTTGGTCAATGTTTTGCACATGTGGTATGAATCACATGCTACAGCATTTCCTCCTTTCCCATAAGTGCATGTCTCTTTTCTTGTAATGTTGTACAGATTTAGTTCAGACATACCTAATGTCTAACTTGAGTTCCATCTACATACTTTTAATTCATCAGAACTCTAATCTGGCAATTAGACAGATAAAGTGTCATTTCACTTATGATCACATTTCATTATGACATTATTTTAATTCTATTTTCTAGGTGACGTTAAACATTTTAAGCTTGCTCTCTATTTCACCTAGATAATAAGCTTGAAATCATCTCATCTCCATTCCTACGAAGTAATGGAGGCGATGCCTGTGTGAGAAGGCCAATCTTTTAGCTGTCTGACATGCTTTTCAAAATACATATATATAATATTTACATAACTAATATGTATATATATATATACTCTTCATGTATGTTCCATAATAATCTAAATTGAGCATGGCAATATTGTTATTTATATGAAAAGACAAATGTGAAATATTTTGGGAAATCTCAAAGTATAAGTACATTCAACACCTACGTAAGCCTAGAGATCTAACATGTCTATTGAAAGTATCTCTTGATATAGGCTTTGTGAATGGATCCGCAACCATGTCATGCGTAGATATGTACTTCATGTTCACCTCCTTTGTGCCACCAGTCTCGCACAAATTATATTTATATCTATGTGTTTCGTTTTACCATGATATTGGGATCCTTAATGTATGCTATTGCTGCTTGACTATCACAGTTTATTCTTACTGGTTCAATAGCAACATAATTATTCCTAGATGATTCATGAACCGTCTTACCAACGGCTTCTTGCACTGCAGCTGAAAATGCTACAAACTCAGCCTCCATGTAGATAAGGCTATGCATGATTATTCTTACTGCTCCAAGATATGGTCCCACCATTTAGTAAGAAAACATATCCAGAAGTAGATTTCCTTTCATCTAAATCTCCTCCCCAATCAGCATCGGTTTAGCCTCTCAAGTGTAAATCATTTCCTTGTAACATAATGAGTAATCAGTTGTCCCTTTTAGATATCTTAAGATTCTCTTCACTGCTTTCCAATGTGCTATCCTGGGTCGGACTGGTATCTACTTACCAACCCAATGGCATAACAGATGTCGGCTCTAGTGCACTCATGGCGTACATAAGACTTCCAACATCACTATATAAGGAACATTCTTCATTTGTTCCTTTCTTGTGGAGTCTTCGGACACATTTTTGACTTAAAGTCTCGCCTTCGCGATAGGGTTGTCTATGGGTTTACAATCTTGCATATGAAATCGTTCAAAATTTTCTTAATGTATGGTTCTTGTGAAAGAGATACAATTTTCTTGGCGTCTCTTGAAATCTTGACTCCAAGAATATATGCAGCTTCACCCATATCTTTCATCTCAAATGAGATACCTCGCATCCTTTGATTTCATTGACAAA